ATCATCTTAAACCTTTTCAACCTATTTAATATAGCCAATAACAACATCAACTCAACTTTTAAACTAAAGGGAAAACTTGATTGATGTTTGGAATTGATTTCTGTGATGTGGAAATGAAATCCAGGTATTATCTCACATTCTCGTGGAGACATCCACATTATAATCAGTCACATCAGAGGTTACCGAATTAAATAACAGAAAATATCAGAAAAAGACATCGTGTATTTCCAGACAGAGGACAATCAGGAAACAATAGCCAAAAGCAAAAAAGTTTTTAAAAAATTACAGGTTCAAACACAAGTTGAAAATTACTTTCCTTTTAATTTTCTACGCTAAACAGAGGAGGTTAAAACGTTAGAGAACAACAGTGGGGCAAGCAGTCATATCTTGCAACTTCAAGAGAAGATATAAGAAACCCATCCGATTCTGGCGTATTGTTTTACTGACTCACTTTGCTCACGTGTATACACTCCAATCGATTAGTGATGTCTTAACAAAAAGTTGTTTACCGTTGTTTCTTTCAATTTTGGCTCATTTTCCCAAACCGAATTTATAAGTCACACACAATAGAATATAATTTCAACTGATGCTGTCATAATACACTTCATCTGAAGAAGATGACATTCCCTCTCTTCTAAAAGTTAATCACAACATCAGGAACAACAGTATAGGTCCTAAGCGGTTTGAAGATACTGCTGACAAGCATGCATGTTTTGAGAACATCGTCCCCAGGTTCCAGAGCTCGTCTGGTCTCTTATCCCTTTGAAGAAGCTCTTCTATAGCCTGTGCTGACGAGTTTTATTACAGTATCTATTTACTATAATGAAGGGCTGGAAAATAAACTAACAAGAGCTCCGCTTTTAGGCTTGGCTAAATCTATATATTTTAAGTGCATTATGTTAGGTTATATTTTGCATAAATGTATGTTTATGTTCAGATCCACTTAAATATTTCATATTTGATTATATAATCATGTAAACACGGTGTTGAGAAGAGGGTGACTTTGCGTGACATTACCTTGTGTTATGCCTTTTTTGTGAGACAACGAGAGACAGCTGTCAAGTGATTCTATGGATTAAAAACCATGCAGTTCACACTGTGTCGGTTGTTGGGATTTAGAATTCGACGTGCGTCATTGAATGTGTTTATCGTGTCTCGCCACAATATCTTTCTGTTATTATTTTTCAATAAATCATTGTGTTGTCATCCTGTAGTTCGTTTGTCTTCGCAACACATAGCTGACTTTGTTGATATGAGATTACGTGGAGATGTTAAAGAATGTGACCTCACACATGTATTCAACAGTGGGCTGTTGAAAAAATTAAGTTGTAATAAACGTTCCTGGATCATTTTCTTCTTTTGGGATTAACGCAGCTGACTCATGTGTTCTTTGTGCAATCCGTTTTTGTGTGGCTTACACGAATTGTAAACCATGCAACGTCATGATCTAAGATATTTATTCCTGGCTGGATTTGTCACGGTGAACAGAGCGCTTTTCACGTGGTTTACTATAGTCGAGGATAGGTTCTAGTCTACCCTTGGCTATTTTACGTAAGGTTCAAGGTAAAGACTTGTTTCCATATCTCAAAGTGCCCTTGGACGTGAGGTGCCTGGGAATGAAATGAATCACTGGAATATAATTAGCGCCGAACTACCGACGATTTGCGACTCTGAACGTTCCCTGTTCTTCCTGTGCACGAATTTTATCTCTACTTCGTGTGTGTTTTGAGTCAATAGTAAACATCTGGCTTTGTAACCATCACATCCAGCATATTTCTGTCGCTCAAGGTTTTATTTTCGCCGGTAAAAAAAAGAAATCAAAGACATTAAACCTCAAGGGCGGTTTCAGTTATGGAAACGAGTAGCTGCACGACGGGCTTGCTTTGTTTCCATAGCTCAAACCGCCCTTGTACCATTCCAAAATCGGTTTCCGGTTCCGGTATTGGAAAAATATTTCGAGCTCCCTTTCAAATTCACCACAAAATAATAATCTGATGTCTTAGTATCTTTAGTGAAGTATATTTGGTCAATGGCAGGCAAAGCAGATGTTGCATCTCATTTGTCGGAAATTTTCTATGTACATTTATCCAGCAAGTCCGGCTACGTTTATGCACCAGTCAATGTGACCCCCCCCCCCCCCCAGCCGGGACATAACGGGGCATTGGCGGGGAATTTTCCGTTATTTGACGAGCGAAAGGGCCGCAGGTATCGGGGACTTTGACCTCTTTTGCACGTCATCCAAGAACAGCGAGGGAGTGGACCAGGGTATTTTCCACCGAGGTGGACTGGGTCGAGAATCGCTAATTCGGCATTTACTAACACTTAACCCTCTTCTACTAGCACATTGAATTTAATATTTCTCTTAAATGTTAACAGTAGACTATAAAGACACCACAAACATTTTACACCATTTGAAAAACATTGTATGCGGTGACGTGTGTTACGTGACAAATAAAGTTTAAACCATTTAAAATTAGCTTGTGTCTTTCCTTCAACAAGAGCAGGGGATGTGAGTGGGGTCGTTAGCTTCAATTAGAGGAAAAACCTGACCTTGGGGTGCGGGGCATTTTGCAACTTCAGAAGTGAGTGCTTGTCAAATGCCCCGCTATGTACCGGCCAGGTTTACATTGACTGGTACATTACCAATCTTACAAGATCGACAAAATTGTCAAAGAATGGGAGTTGTGTATAAACTCATCGTTCACTCTTTGGGAGGTGGATGACAACTTTGGGAGTATTGATAAGTCTGACGGTGCAACTAAGCCAAATTCTGCGTTATTTTCCCATCTATTTACTATAAAAGGGGACCAACTAAATCCTCAGTTGGTCTAGTTCTATAAAGGCACCAGGAAAAGGAACAGCACAATGCATCACCAATCAATCTGTTATATTCAAATATTCTTTCAGCAAAAACATGTATTTTAAGATGAACTGCTAGTTTTTAAATCACAATGGAAGCCCACAACCACCCTTTCCTACCATGTTCCTCCCCTCTGTATTACTCCCCTTCAAATTAACCCCTCATCAATGAGGCCTGAAATTCCATGAGCCCCCTGTGGGCTTAACAGACCTTGTATATATTTCAACAAACTCTCTAATATGATCTTTACAATACTAGGTTAGAATTCACATCATGAGTGATAAGAATACCCGGTGACAAAATCACTTGTTGGCAGATACTAAATTATAGTTCTGTGTTAGACCCATCAGCTGCAACACACAAAGTCATGTGGGAGGACCAAAGATTGAAATTTGATGGCATACCATATTTTGTTTTGGGGCAAAAAATTTTTGAGTGTCGAAATGGAGAAGACAGGAAGAAAGCTTGGAAACAAAAGAGAAAAGAAATGAAACTGCAGGTATGGTTTACTCAGTAATCATTAATCATGATAAAATTTTCCAAAAATGTTTCAATTTTTTTTTTGGGGGGGGGGAGGAGGGGGTGATAAACAACACCCATCTTCATTTAAACAGAAATAAAACAAGAAATAATCATTGACAAGTAAATAGTATTTGAATGCTTTATTCAAGTGTCATTTGTTCTTGTTCTAAATCATATGTCATCGGTTGTAAGTTGTACTTCTGCAAGGAACACTAATATCCAAAAAGGAATATTTAAAAATAATTCAAAACACTTATTTTTTGGTACTAAACTAACTACTACTAAAAAGACAAGAACTGGTGTTCACATATCAATACATTCCCTCAAGTAGAAAATTCAGAGTACAGTGGAAGTCCTCAAAGTGCTACTTTGGAAATTGCTTCATTGTATAGAGGGTTTGGTATGTCAAAGTTTTGTTGCATACCTTTTCAATGGTCTGGCTGGAGAATATAGTTGGTTATACAGAGGATTGCAAAATATAGTCCCCTATGTACAGTATAAACTGAGTAATAATAAGGCACCAAATACCCCCTCCCCTACTCCTCCAAAAAAACCCTTTGTAGTAAAAAACATCAATTAATTGCAAATAGCTTTTAAAAAATCATAGCTAATAAATTTTTTATCTTTTCTTTTGCCTCTCTTTTTTTTCCACATGCACTGAAAAGGACGGAGACCACCACTATACCAAGCGCACAAAGAAAATGGTACAGGATACGAAAAAATGGGCTACCCTGTACAAGTAATTGTCAGAGAGATCATGAAATTTCCACAATTTCAGGTAACCACTTTATAGATGTGTATAGTAAGAATTTGGGAAGAGATGTGTAGTGTTTAAAAAACAATTGCTCAATTAGTCACGAATATGTAATGGATTTGAATTCAGAGGTTGATTTGATTATTAACAGCCGCATATAAAGCACACTTGCAAATTCGTTGCCTTCTAGGGATCTCAACGTTACTAAAAGGAGTTTAAACCTGTCGAGTTAACAGCCAAGTTGATTCTCTCAAAAGGAGAAGAAAAGCATCTGAGAGACTTAGAGAGTACTTTCTAGAGCACAAGGACTTAACTGGAGAGCAGTGGTTTTACATAGAGCTACCTGAGGCCAAGGATCACAAGTTTCACATTACTGGAGAGGTACCATTTTGAAATAAAGTGTTAAATAACTCTACAGATATGCTAATATTGTAAGATGGATCCTCAAAAAGAGTACTATGCTGCTAAACTGACTAAGAGATCCCCATCCCCACCTCCAGCCCCCTGGCGCATGCAGTGTAAGCTAGAATGGTGTCTCTCCCAATTATTTGACTGCTTATCAAAAAGAAAGAAAACTAAAGCCAAAATGTTATTCTTTCACAGGCTGGTGGTATTCATCGGGCAGTTGACATGAGAGTTGTGGCTAGAATACATAACTTGGTTAACAGAGGCGTAACTAGTGTGGAAGAAATGAGGAGACATTTGAGAGAGTGTGTCAGGAGTGAGCTGTTCCCAGGAAGAGAAATGCCACCTTCAACAAGCAGGCAGTATTGTCCAACAAAAAAAGATCTCTATAATCACATGTACCGGGCTATGGTGAAAAGCAGATTTTCCAACTGAAATCAAACCAATGCTGAATCTAAAATGAAAGAGTGGCAAGAGCAGAATCCGAGTGACAAATACTTCTTTCGCAAATACAATGATATTTGTGAAGAGGCTCCTGAGAAGGACTCTGTTGAAGAAGATAATGATGCAGAGGAAATCAAACTTACATCTCCCCTCTCGTGTCAGAAATTCCTCCTTGTCCATCAAACATCGTGGCAAAGACGTCTATTGGGCAAATATGGTAATGACATTTGTCTTCTGTATGCCACCTGTAAGACAACCAGGTATTCTCTACCTCTTTTCTTCCTGGCAGTAAAGACAAATGTCGATTACCAGGTCGTGGCCAAATTTGTTATGCAAGATGAAGGAACTGAAACCATCAAGGAAGCTCTGGAGATCATAAAAGAGTGGAACCCAGACTAGCAACCTGCATATTTCATGACTAATTTCATTTACCCTGCAAGCATTTCCTGGCCATTTATCATCATGTGCCTGGCTGCGACTGGACTTCCCTTTCAACCAAGTACCGAGAATCACAAATGTTGCTCCTTGATGACCACGTTATGAAGAAGTTGCACCCAAAGCATGATGCTGCAGATGACCAAACTACCTGTATCACAAATCTAGAGATGCCAGTGTGCCCATCCGAGATAAGAGAAAATGGTCATAGCATTCTTCCCCTTCCCACCAAACAAAAAACATCACGCACTCAGGCTACCAAATGCAGGGAGGTTCTCAATCACCTTAGAAATTTTACTTTTCTTGTGCATGAGGAGGAACCTTTAACTGCTTTATAAGCCACATTTTTCTCAGCTCTGCTCGAGCTACTGTAGAGTGCGTGACATGTTTTGTTGAGTTCATGAACCACAAAGGGTGTCGGGTAAAAAAAAAGAAAAAAGCATGTGCTCGGAGTTTTCGAATAAATACAACCTTGTGTTTAATTAATCTGGTGATTTGAGTGTGTAACATTGGCGACCCTGCCAGGACTCGACCGAAGAGGCTTATCATCGACGAAGAACTGCCTTGGGTTGTGAAGGACAAAGTAATTGGCACGCTTGGTTGATTCGTCGAGCGCGAGTTGGTTGTGGTCGATTGCTGTCGACGGCGGACTGATCTTGACGTAAAGTGTCGCATTTCTTTTGTGAACGGCTGATTGCACTATTGGTGAGTACGAAAGATTATTTTTGGAAGTATGATGGATACCGAGAGTCTGCAGATCGAAATTCAGGCCGCGTTGTGTTCCTTGAGCGAGGAAAGGCTTAAAGAAGTTTGTAGTGGGCTGAACATTACTGTACCGCCTGAGAGCAAGGGAAGGTTGGTTTTTATCCGAGCTCTAAATAAATACCTCGAAACGGAAGAATTAGATAATGAGAAGCTCAAAGTGTTGTCGTCGTCTCTAAGTATGCAGGGAAAATTTGTACCGAACAGAAAACGGAACCGCCGAAAGCTTCTGAAAATAGTAAAGCGACCGTCAAAATAGAGCAAAATCCCGTGGTGTCAATTTCAAAATTCAAACGCGACTTCAAGATTTCGGGCCAGATTGGCGACGTGTCGCAGAAGGATCGTTTGAGTTTTTCCTCGCTAGTGCATCAAATTGAGAATGGTTTAAAGAACGACTATACAGAGGATGAAATTAAAGAGGCTGTGATAAAAGCGATAAATCCGGCGTTAAGCCTAAGAAGTTATTTGGAGGGTAAGGTAGATTTAACACTGGCCAAATTGAGGAGAATTATGCGTTCTCATTATCAGGAGAGAACAGCAACCGAACTATATCATCAGTTGAGCTCAACTGTACAACAGCCAAAGGAAAAACCTCAAGAATTCTTGATCCGCCTTCTCGATTTGAAACAGAAGATCTTGTTTGCATCTCAAGAAACTGACTCGGACCTGAAATATGATCCTACCTTAGTACATGGCATGTTTGTCCATAGCTTTTCCCTTGGCCTGCAAAGTGAGAATATCAAGATCGAAATGAAGCCTTACTTGGAAAAAGAAATTTATAAGCGATGAAGAACTATTCGAGAAATTAAATGTGTGTTTCAGTGACGAACTGGAGCGATCACAGAAATTCGGTTCACAGCTAACCCCCAAGGTAAATGCTGTTCAAAAGGGAGGGGACAAGCAGGAGACAAAGAATAATGGGGTGGAGGAAGGTCTCATGAAAGAACTAAGGGAGCTCAAGGCAGAAGTGGCCGCAGTCAAAGAGAGAGTTCGGGCCCCACTCCGGGCTCAAACCCCCCTCACACAACAGCCTATGAGACAACCCCCACTGTGTAGGACCTGCCAACAAAGTGGGAATGGATGGCCGTGCAACCATTGCTTCAGGTGTGGGGCGAGTGGCCATTATGTACGCGAGTGTAATGCCCAATTCAGCCGACGCTCTCCGGCAGAATCTCAGGGAAACGGCCAGAGGTCACGCCCATGGGACAGGGTGTGACCAGGCAAGAAAAAATCAGTCCCATTACGTGCAGTGTGGAAAACAAAGCACAGACCATGTACCACTTAACCGCTGCGGAGCCTGTAAGATCAATAGATATTATTCAAAAGAATGTCAAGTAAAATACAGAACTGTGCATAAACCAGTTTGCATGGCTATACAGGAACTTGAGAAACAGAAAGCAGCCGGAGATGATGGCGATGATTGGAACACGACGTTTCCCTGCCACCTGACGCCAAGGCAGCAGCTCGGACTGACAAAAATCGTGGGACGGAGGTGCGTGGTAAAATGCCTAATTCAAGGAAAGGAAGTGGAGGCATTATGGGATACAGGTTCCCAGGTTTGTGTTGTGTCAAGGAAGTGGCAACAAACTCACTTACCGCTGGAGGTGTTAAGAAATGTTGAAGAGTTGTTGGGAGCAGGAGAAGAGTTGAATTTGGAAGCGATGAATGGGACAAACATTCCATTTGACGGTTGGATTGAGGTCGGGTTTAAGTTGGCTGGAGATGATACAACTGCTCATGAGCTGACAGTTCCAGTACTGGTGGGACAAAAGGAACAAGAGTACCCAATCATTGGCTTCAATGTTATAGAAGAAGTCCTCGCTCAACATGGTGGAAACCACCAAGCGGCAAGTAACATCATTCAGCAGTCATTCCCTTCAATTCATCATACTCGCGTAGGTACCCTGATCAATCTGATCCAGTCAAGAACACAGGATACCGGTACTGCAGCTGTTAAAGTCGGAAAGAGAGATGTTATGCTGCCAAAAGGAGAGGCAACGACAGTTAAGTGTCAAACTCACCTCGGACCAGTTCCAGAGGGGATGCCAGTAATATTTGAGCCCAAGGAAGACAGCGAGCTCCCAGACGGACTGGAATTGGGCGAGGAACTTACTAAAATAACCCCGGGAACCTCTAGTCACGTGGCCGTCGTGGTCCAAAACAATACAGACAGAAACATCTTGTTAAAGCGCAGAACAGAATTGGGCCGGATACACCTGGTAAAGTCAGTTCTACCAATTCCAAATACTCCCGACTCGTACTCTCGAGGAGACGAGGATTTTTACCCTGAAGCTACCTTGCATCCTGGTCAGGAACAAGATGGATGGGAGCCACCAGTTGACTTGAGTCAGCTAGAAGACAATGAACAATTGATCGTCCACGAAATGCTACGGCAAGAAGCTGGTGCCTTTGCAAGAAACGACGATGAGGTTGGCTGCGTGGAGAACTTGGTGCTTGATCTCCAGTTAAAGGACAATGAGCCAGTACAGAAGAACTATATCTCCATCCCCAAGCCACTCTATGGGGAAGTGAAAGAGTACTTAGAAGACTTGATTAATCGAAATTGGATCTGCAAGTCCCGTTCGGCTTACTCCTCACCCATGGTCTGTGTTCGCAAAAGGATGGAAGTCTGCGACTTTGTATTGATTATCGAGAATTGAACAAGAAAACATATCCAGAACGACAGCCGATTCCCCGTATACAGGATATCTTAAATGGCCTAGGCGGCAACAAATGGTTTACAGTTCTGGACCAAGGGAAGGCCTACCACCAAGGCTTTATGACAGAAGAAAGCCGCCCCCTGACTGCATTCGTGACCCCCTGGGGATTGTATCAATGGAATAGAATACCGTTTGGGCTAATGAATGCACCGGCGGCATTCCAAAGGTGCATGAATGAATGTCTAGATGGCTTACGGGACAACATCTGTATTCCCTACCTGGATGATGTCTTGGTGTATAGTAAGACCTTTGAGCAACACGTTCAGGATGTCCAACAAGTCCTGCGTCGACTGCAGGAACATGGGATAAAGTTAAAGCCATCAAAGTGCAAGTTCTTCCAACGACAAGTTAGATATTTGGGGCGGGTTGTTTCCGGCGATGGCTACTCTCTAGACCCAGAGGACACGGCTGCCGTACACAACTTGGCGAAACAGAAACCAACAACAGTGGGTGATGTGCGTAAACTGCTAGGGTTCCTGAGTTACTACAGGCAATACATCCAGGATTTCTCACGCATAGCTAAGCCCCTGTACGATCTAATGGCTGGCCCTGATCTATTGGCTAATAATCATAAGGTAACATGGACAGAGGAACATCAGAAGCGGCTTGACATGCTGGTCGACCGACTGACTTCTCCCCCAGTGATGGCATTTCCCGACTTTACGAAGCCATTTGTACTTCACACAGACGCCTCGCAAGAGGGACTTGGAGCTGTATTGTATCAAGAACAGGACGGGAAGCTCAGAGTTCTAGGTTATGCCTCTAGGACACTAACTCCAGCAGAGAAAAATTACCACATGCACGCGGGAAAATTGGAGTTCCTTGCCCTCAAATGGGCAGTAACTGAGAAGTTCCGTGATTACTTGTACTACTCCACCTTCTTCACTGTTTACACCGACAACAATCCACTAACTTACATTCTGTCGTCAGCTAAGTTGTCTGCAGTAGGGCACCGGTGGGTGGCAGAACTGGCAGATTTTAATTTTAACATCAAGTATCGGCCTGGCAAATCTAACATTGACGCGGATGTACTATCCCGCCTACCGCTAGATTTCAGTGCATACATGGAAACCTGTATTGCAGAAATGGAAAAGGACGCAATTTGTGCAACAAGTCAAGCAGTGATCCATCAGGAAACAGACGCCACACCCTGGGTGGCAGCAGTTTCAGCAAGAGTTGGCATTGCTCACGCAGAACCGGGCGTCACAGATTTGGTTTTTCGCCAACTTACGTTAGAAGAAATATTAAGGGCTCAACGGGAAGACCCCGACATCTCACGAATCCTGGCCTACAAGAAACGGGGATATCCCCATCAGGAGGAGAGCGGAAAAATGAGACTCGTACAACATCTTGCTACTTGAGAGCATGGAATAAACTCCATATATCAGCGGACGGGATCCTGTGGCGCCAAACTAAGAGTCGATTGCAGCTAGTATTACCCACAAAGTTTAAACAGTTGGTTTACCAAGAACTTCACATTGA